GATTAAACAATACCCAATGACCTTGGAAACAAAAAGGGAAATTGCAGCCCATATTGCCTGGCTTGGAGAGACATGCATCCTGGTGCCCTGCCACTCACCCTGGAATATGCCTCTCCTGCCTGTGAAGAAACGTGAGACCTGATTCTCATGAGCCTGATTCTTCCAGAAAAACGAATGTACACATCCTTGAACCTGAAAGATGCATTTTTCAGCCTCGCATTGGCAGAGGTGAGTCAACCCATCTTTGCTTTTAAATGGGCAGACCCGGTGAGGGTACGGTGGGCAACGTACCTGGACCAGGTTGCCCCATGATTTAAAGATAATGTCTTTAAACCTAGTAATGCAGATTTCCTGTCCTTCCATCAGAGGTTTCTTGGGAAAAATAGATCATAAAAGGGCCACTGAGGGATTGCTGCAGGAGTTCCGGACCCTGGGCTACAGAATGTCGGCTAAGAAAGCCCAACTTTGTAGAAAGCCACCTATCTTGGCTACCAGCTGAGGGGAGGCAGAAGGATCTTGTCTCAGACAGGACTGCTGCCATCCTTCAGATCCTAACTCCAAAGACTGAGAGACAGGGTCCAGAGTTCCCGGACGCAGCCGAGTATTGCTGCCTCCGGATTCCAGAATTTGTAGAAATAACAAGGACTCTATACACCAGCACAGAGGGGGGAGGGGCCCCTAATTAGGAGACCCTAATCTGGACTGAGACTAAACTAAAGGCATTTGAGGCTTTAAAAACACCTCTGACTTTGGGATCAGCCCTAAAACTTCCAGATGTCTTGAATTTGTCTCATCTGTTTGTCTATGAAACATAAAACAAAAGGGGTCATATAAATGCCCCCATAGAGACATTACCTGTCCAAACAACTGGACCCTGTGGCTACGGGATGACACACTTTTCTAAGCTATGGTGGCTACTGCTAATTTAATTGGAAGAAAAGGCAAACATGTTAACTCTGGGTCAAGATCTTAAATTCACAGCACCCCACGATGTGGTTGAGGCCCTCCTTCAAGGAACACTGTCTTTCTAATGTCTGTGTGACCCAGTTCCAGGCCCTATTCTTGGAGTGCCCTCAAGTCCAGTTTGAGAAACCCATTGTCATCAATTCTGCTACCCTCTTTCCTGGTGACAACCCGAAGATGCTCACCTATGCCTGTCATGAGATGAAAGATGAAACCATGTCCAGGTACGAGGGAGCTGCAACAGTTACTTTATCCAAAATGATTTGGGTCCAAGCCAGGTACCTCAGCCCAGAGAGCAGAACTGACTGATCCAACCCAGGCTCTCAGATGGAGAAAAATAAAGTCCACCACTACTACTGGGCATGATCACAGTACAATCTAAATATAAAGAGGGCTTCTCATTGCTTGGAAAAGGGACATTAAAAAATCTTGGCCCTCATCCAAGCTATTTGGCTTCTACAAATATTCTACAAATAGAGTAGTGGAACTGTCCTCCACTGCCAGGTTGATGACCAGACTGCCTAACAAATGACCCTAAGACCTGTGGGGCCTATTGATGTTCTGATGACATACCATGACCCAGTGCTGCCTGAAACTCCATGGTAAAGAAGAAATGGACAGCTCAACCCCACAGGTTGATGGAGGACACCAGAGGGAAAGATCACTGTCCCAGAAACAACTGGTAAGACTCTGGTAACTACCTTCACCAGGCTACTCATCAGGGGTCCACAAAACTTTCTGAATTGCTCAGACCAAGGTATGTTGTACCTAGATTGGACAGCCTAATGCAAGTTTCTCAGCCAGATGCCATGTTTGTGCTCAAGTATAGTCCTTACCCAGGAAGGGGTCCAAATGAGAGACCAAAACCCTGGCAAACTCTAGGAAAACTGACTTCACCAAGATCCAACCTGCTGAGAGAGGATAAAAGTGTTTGTTGGTTTTTATAGATAGCTTTTATGGATGGGTAGAAGCATTCCCCACCCAGACTGAACTGCTCAAATAGTAGCTAAAAAGCTCTTTCAGGAACTGGTTCTCTGATTTGGTTTCCTCTTAGCGATGGGGTACAACAATGGCCTGGCTTTCACAACCAAAACCTCTCAATTGATAACTAAAGCTTTAGACATAGATTGAAAACTTCATTGTGCATTTAGTCCTCGGAATTCTAGCCGGGTAAAAAGTATAAACAGAACATTAAAAGAAACTCTAGGCCGGGCGGTGGTGGCGCACGCCTTTAATCCCAGCACTCGGGAGGCAGAGCCAGGCGGATCTTTGTGAGTTCGAGGCCAGCCTGGTCTATAGAGCGAGATCCAGGAAAGGCGCAAAGCTACACAGAGAAACCCTGTCTCGAAAAACCAAAAAAAAAAAAAAAAAAAAAAAAAAAAGAAACTCTAATAAAACTCTCATTAGAGTCCAGCAAAGGATGGGTAGACCTCCTTCTTTTGCTTTGCTTTGGGCCTGCTGCATCCCATATAGCGAGGGATTTACCCCACTGTGAGATCATGTCATGCTTCCCAGGCTCAGAGACCAGCAGTTAGCAGAACTCTCGAAGCATTCCTTTCTTGAGTCATCATAGGCCCTCCAGTTCTCCATGCAGACTACTCATTGGACTGTCCAAGCGACCCACTGACCTCTGAGTCCACCACCAGTTTCCCCTTGTTTGAGTTCAGTGATATTGTCTGGGACAAGCAAGTAGCCAAAGGGGCACTGGAACTAATCTGCAAAGGACTCTACAAGGTGACTCTCTCCACTCCTATGTCTGTGAAGGTAGCTGGCATTGCGCTATGGATCCACCACACCTAGGTCAAGAAAATGGAAGCCACAGATGCTGATACCAAACGGATTATCTCTGAACTGTGGACCCAGTGAAATTAAGGTTTCACTGGGCCATGGGCACTTATACTCCCTGCCCCTCTGCCTCCCCTGAGTTTTGTGTTTTGCATTATGGGTATGAATACAGGGTCATGATCCAACCCCCAGCACCCTCAGGCCTAGACTGGAAGTGGAAGAAGACAGATACAGAGAAGGTATGTGCTCAGTTCTAAATGGAATGTCTATATCACCCCTTCAAGGCTCAGGAAACATTGCAAAAGAGGAGACAAAAAAAAGTGTAAGAGCCAGCCCGGTGGTGGCGGCACATGCTTTTAATCCCAGCACTTGGAAGACAGAGGCAGGTAGCCTCAAGGCCAGCCTGGTTCCAGAGCTAGCTCCAGGACAGCTAGGGCTGTTATGCAGAGAAACCTGTCTCGGCAAACAAAAACAAACAAACAAACAGTGTAAGAGCCAGAGAGAAGCCAGGGTGACTGCTGCTGAACAGTGTCTTCTGCACATGACAAGGCCATTGTACTCATGATCCCACTGCTTTGAACTGCCACTGTGGTTACCTGCACAAGACCAGCCAGAGCTAATTGAGATTAGGCCTGCCAGTAAATATCACAGATGGGGACAGACTTGCCCCCAGCCCTCGTGGAAACTGTGGGCAGTTAAGGGTTACTGGGGAGGGGGGACCACTGGTAAGTGCTCCAGTAAATCATCCCCAACCATGCTTAAAGATCCCCAAATGAGAGGGATGGGCTGTTTTAGTAGGAATGGGCAATACAAGAGGTGTGTGTCAAATGTCCAAGGTTTAGTATGAAATTGTCAAAGAAATGAAGTCAATTAGAATAATAACGAGTATTGGGAAGACAGAAATAAAGTCCATTGTGTAGATTTGTGTAGATACTCCTTCTCCATCCACCTATGGATGGACACCCAGGCTAATTCAATGACATAGTTCTGAAACAAATGGGAATTCATAGATTGAAAAATAACAAGCCCGACAGAGACAGAGGAAGACACCTGATACCGCTGGACCTCTGGCCTCTGCCTCTGCCAAGGTACACACACAAATGAATTTAATTAGAAGGTAAGTGTGATGGCCCATGTGTGCGACCCCAGCACTCAGGAGGCTGAGGCAGAAGGGTTGCCTGAATTGGAGGCCAGTCTGTACTACACAGCAACTCCCAGAGGTAGCTAGGGTAAGCAAGACCCTGTCTCAAAACGAAAACAAATACAACAAACAACAATCAAAAAGAAATTCAGGGGCCTGGAGAGATGACTCAGGAGTTAAGAGCCTTGGCTGTTATCAGAGGACCCACGTTCAATTTCCAGCCCACATATGACACCTCACAGTCATTTCTGGGAGATTCAACATCCTCTTCTGGCCTCCACTGGCACCAGGCACACAGGAGGCACACAGATTCACATGCAGGCAAAATACCCATACACATTAAATCATTTAAAGAAGAAGAAAAACAGCAACTTTAAAGGGGAATTCAGTTAGAATTCAATTCATGAAAAGCCCAGGTGTGGAGCCCACATTATATGTCCCTGACCACCAGGCTGGCCAGTCTCTCCTGGCCTCTGCTCTTTCACCCCGGGCCCTCTTCTCTCAGTACCCCCCCCCTCCCCGTGAGCCCTCAGGCCACTCCCCTGTGCCCAGCCTCTTTCTTCTGCCCTTCCCTGCTCCAGGTGTTCAAGGGCCCCGCCCTCCTGGCTCACTCCTCCCTGGAGTAGGGATTAGAATCCAGCTCCACAGATACCTTGAGTCACTGTCCCCTCAGCCCATCCCCTGGGCTGGCTGAAGTAGGGGGAAGTGGGGCTGGGTCTTCAGGGAGCTGTGAAGCTCAATTAAGTGTCATTAGCTGAAGAGAGTTTCTGCAGGATTAGAACCATGCCCCGCCCTGGCTTCCTCATCCTCTTCCACCCCACCACCACACGGAAATTCGATGAGCCGAGACAGAGATCAGGTGGAGCATCATGTGTGACATGTGGACAGTAGGAGAGTGGCCAGCAGACGAAAGGGCAGGCAGGCAGATGGACAGGGAGACAACAGAGAGACAGAGAGACAGACAGGCAAACAGGTGAGAAGGGATCAGATGGAGGCTGTGAGGGAGTGGCCTGGGGGAAGGGGGCAGAGAGGAGAGGGCAGAGGTGGAGGCACACAGAAGGGTGAGCTCAGATCCCCCACCTTCCCTGGCAGACCCTGGAGGCAGCCTACCATGAGGCCCAGCATCCTCTTGCTCCTGTGTGTTGTGGGTGAGTTTTCTGAGCCAGGGCGGGGTGGGAAGGGGTGGAGGAAGGGTGGTGGCAGCCCTAACTGTGTCCTTCCCTTCCCCCATGGTAAGGGCCTATGCACCCCCCACCCCAAACCTGGTGCTGAGGATAGGGCAAGAGGTCAACCCTGCTTAGCTGTCTCTCTGTATGGTGGGTCTCTGGCACCGTCCAGCTCTCTCTTTTTCATCTCCATCTTCTTGTTTGTTTTGTTTTGTTTTTCTGCAACTTGTGACAGACCCCCTGCCTCAGCCTCCAGAGTGCTGGTAGGACAAGCAGGCACCATCACACACACCCATTCCCGCACCTCACCTCCTCCCACCCACAACCTTCGTGTCTAACCCCATTTCTCTGTCCTGCACCGGACCTCAGGTCTCAGTCAGGCCGACAGGGAGAAGATCTTTAATGGCGCTGAGTGTGTGAAGAACTCACAGCCTTGGCAGGTGGGGCTGTTCCGTGGCAAATATCTGCGCTGTGGCGGTGTCCTCGTGGACCGCAAGTGGGTCCTTACAGCTGCTCACTGCAGTGGCAAGTAAGCCCGTGGGTGGGCCCTCCTGGGGCGAGCAAAGGAGGGTGCCGGGGGAAGGGGAGGTCCCCCCTGATGATATCTGGTGTCAAGGGGTAGGAGTCAGCCAACTCCAGGTTAGAGGTGCAGAAGAACTTCCTGAGGTGGGGCTGGGTGCTGCCAGGTGGGATGAGGTGTGCAGTGGGTGGAGGAACTGGGATGGTGCCTCTGTTCCTCTCCCATTTCCTCCTGTGCCATTTCCTTCCCTATAGAGCATTTATCACCAGCCCCAGGCATTCCCTGACCCCAGCTAGACTCAGGGTGTCACTGAACTTGAGTCACAACCTGTACCCCAAGAAGCCAAGTTCAACCACCCTTCCTTGAGAAGCCAATTAAAACAGACAAATTGATAATAGAAAGGAGATTTATTCACTGTGGCCCCTTTGGGAACTGGACAAATAGATCCAGTGACCCCCTCTAATCCATCTTCAGGATCCTGAAGTGAGATTGCTGTGTAAATAGAGGGCTAACAATATGCATTTCTTTTTTTTTTTTTTTTTGGTTTTTCGAGACAGGGTTTCTCTGTGTAGCTTTGCGCCTTTCCTGGAACTCACTTGGTAGCCCAGGCTGGCCTCGAACTCACAGAGATCCGCCTGGCTCTGCCTCCCGAGTGCTGGGATTAAAGGCATGCGCCACCACCGCCCGGCCCACAATATGCATTTCTAAGCAGTCCAAGACGTGGTGCAGCCTACCATTGACCCATCACTGTCTGGGCTTCAGTCTCAACTCTAAGGTGGTCTGACCAGCTCTTAGAACTGCCAGAAATCTCTTTCCGGAGACAAGTTACCCCTCTGGTCAGCACCTTTTCTTTCTCCTAGCATGAGGTTCCTGGGGTGGGGGTGGGGGATTCCCATTTCCTTGGGGTCTATTGTTCCAATAATCTGACAGATTATTGTCACATTAGTGTCTCTTTAGCATATCTTCCTTTTGCCTGTTGGTGGTGCATACCTTAAGTAGACAAAAACACTAACCAGGACACCCACTGAACCATCTCCCCAGACCCCAGATGGTCCACTTTCTAGGTCTAGACTAGCTGTAAAAGGGGAGCCAGGTGTCAAGGGTCCAAGAAGCTCCATGTAGGACAGAGGTGTCTTCCTTATCCATTGCTCAGTCACAGCCCTGGTAACATTGCTGGTGCTGGCTGTGGGGATAATTATGGCAGCTGGTATAGCAGAAGACATCCCTGCCCCATGACATCTGCTGTCAAAGAGGCCATGGGAGTAGAAGACTAGCCCAACATGCGTAGTTGATGGGGAGCAGAGACCCAGAGGCTGAGAGAGAGAAACAGAGAGAGGTAAACGGCCCATCTGCCACCCACTGACCAACTGCACCCTCAGGTACGTGGTGCGCCTTGGGGAGCACAGCCTCACCAAGCTGGACTGGACAGAGCAATTGAGGCTCACGACCTTCTCCGTGACACACCCCAGCTACCAGGGTGCCCATCGGAACCATGAGCATGATCTTCGACTCCTGCAGCTGGGCAGACCGGTCCGCCTGACCCATGCTGTCCGGCCCCTGGCCCTGCCCACTTTCTGTGCACCTATGGGGACCAGGTGTCATATTTCAGGATGGGGTATCACAAACAAGCCATGGGGTAAGAGGGTCCTGAGGTTGGGGGTGAGGGATGTAGGGTAAGAGATCAAGTTGTTTACTTTAGAGAAAGCATGGGTATGGGGTTAAACATCAGGGTCAAGGGGCATGGGAAGGTGGGTCTTTAGAGTCACAGAGGTTAAGGGATTGAGTATGGAGTCAGAAGCCAGGGGTCAGAGTTGTGATCAGAGGTCAGAGTAATGCCAGGGGTCATCAGGGCATCTGATTCATGGGCTCAGGTGTTAGAGGTCATTTACAGAGCTGGTATTGCTGGGCCTCTAATCCTAGGTACTGGAGGCTGAGGTAAGAGGGCAGAAAGTTCAAGGTCAGCCTCTGTTACAGAATAAGAGCCTGTGTCAAAATAAAAAGTAAAAATGTCTGTAGATGTGGCTCAGTGGTAGAGTCCTTAGGTCCTAAATTCCATCCCTATTAGGGTGGGAAGCTGAGGTCACTGGATCACAATCTAGTCAGAATCTTTCTCATGTCATATTTGGAAGTCACAGGGTTTGGGCCAGGGTTTCTGTGGCATGGAATTTGGGGTCAAATGACCTGAAATCAGAAGACTTTTTTTTTTGAGTTAAGATGAAGTAAGTGAACATTTGAACGATGTGGAACTGAGATCTGAGGTTAAAGTGAAACCAAGGACATGGCTTCAGGAGATGGAAGACGTGAAGTGAGACTGGGATCAAGAGCTAATAAGATCAAAGGACCAGGCCTATGGCCTGGGGACAAGGGTGACCATGGGACTGAGTCACCAAACGGAGAATATTTAGGACTGCAGTGAAGTTGAGTTGAGGAGTATAAATTTGGATCAAATGTTCTTGGGAAGAATGTAGCCCCAAAGCAGGGATCTCAGAGGGTCTACATTACCCATCGTCTACATCACCGATATCACCCATCTTCCATGCCCAGAACCATTCCCAGACAGGCTCCAATGCCTCAACCTCTCCATTGTCTCCAATGGCACGTGCCAAGCCGTGTTCCCTGGAAGAGTGACGGAGAATATGGTGTGTGCAGGTGGTGAAGCCGGGAAGGATGCCTGCCAGGTGAATCAACTCGGGGTGGTGAGGACCACAGGGGACAGAAAGCAGGCGCTGGAGAAAAGAAAGGAAGAAAGCTTTCGGGGGGGGGGGGGGGCTTGACAGGGACGCTAAGGTAGACGGGGGTGGAGTAAGGAGGTTATTAGTAGAGTTCTTAATGCTGTGAACAGACAGACAGAGAGGCAACAACATGGCAGAGGCTCTCAGGAGTGTTCAGGCCAGAGACAGAGAGCATGATGGGACCTGAAGAGGAATCAGAATCCACTTGGAAAAGAAGAGGGTGTTTCTTTGTATTCTTTTCTGAGAGTGGGGAAGGTTTCACAGCAAGCCCCTGCAGGCAAGCTCTCTGGTTCCCAGGCAGGAGGCAGGGGAGGGGAGGGGAGGGGAGGACAGCAGCATGTATGGCCACCCATACTCACTTGGACATAAACTCACTTCCCAGGTGAGAGCTCCTGGTACCTGGAACTCTGTTAGCTAGGGACTGGAAGGCAGGATCTTTGTAGAATGCCGGTTGGTGTCTGTGAGAGGGGCAAGAGGAGGCTTGCTGTCTCGAGCTGCAGCTAGATTCTGACCTCACACTCTCCAGAAGTGAGGAAAAGTAGGAAAAGCCCCAGACCTGGGAGGTGGAAAGTGAAGGAATTAGGTGGAGAGATGGGACTAGAAAGGAGGGGAGATTTGGCCAAATGGAAGAAGAGACAGGGGATGGGGGAGGAGCCCAGAATGGAGGAGCAGGAAGGGGAGGAAAGGAGGAACAGGAGGCTGAAAAGAGGGAGGGGGAAACAGGCAAGCAGTGGAGGACAGAAAACTAGCCAGGATGGTGTATTTCAGAGCACCCTTCCTGGAACTCCAAGGCTTCCTCACATCATCAATCAGCTGGGGCTACCCCACGTTAAGAGAAAGAGGGATTGGGTAAAGAAGGTCACAAAACCAGCTGTGCCAACGTGTGGTATGATGCTCTTGGGCACCTTAGAGGAGGTATCATACATAGCGCCCAGAGACGAACAAACCCCCTCAGAGTACTCTCTATTCTCATAGCCCAGCCCTCCTGTCCTGGGGTTGGGCATAGAAGATAGCATTCTCTTCACTCATTGGCCAAAACCAGTCAGGGTGGCATCTTCTTTCCTATTGGCTAGCTGTTACAATGTTCTTCCTGTGAGTTGGCTGTGCTCCCGTCTCCCAGGACCTGGCTTGTAGCCACTCTCTTTAAGAACTGTCTCTTCTGTCTCCTAGGGTGACTCAGGAGGCCCCCTGGTGTGTGGAGGAGTTCTTCAAGGCCTAGTTTCCTGGGGATCTGTTGGGCCTTGCGGACAAAAGGGCATTCCAGGGGTCTATACCAAGATCTGCAAATATGTGGGCTGGATCAGAACAGTCATCAAGAACAACTAATGGGCTTCCCCTGTCTCCATGTGGTTCTGCTTCGGGGCCTCTCTGACCCTCGAAGCACCAGTGTCTCCTCCCTCACCACTCCAGCTCCCACCCTCGCTGGTGCAGGGAACCTCTTGAAACCTCAGGGGTGTAGAGGGGACTGTGAAACTCTGGAATAAACGTTATACAACCAAGGGAAGGGCTGCACCTGTCTGTTTAATGTGCAGTTTAAGCCTGGTGGGAACCGGAAAGGGTGGGCGTTTTTGCTGGACTTGGTTGCATAGGTCTGTGATCTTGGTACTCAGGAGAAAGAGGTAAAGAGGATCAGGAGCTCAAGATCATCCTGGATTACAAAGTGAGTTCGAGGCAATTCTGGGCTTCATGAGACCCTGTCTCAAAAACAAACAGGCCAGGCATGGTGGTGGAGGTCTTTAGCCTCCACACTTGGCAGGCTGATCTCTGAGTTTGAGGCCAGACTGGTCTACAGAGTGAGTTCTAGGCCAGCCAGAGCTACACAGTGAGAATCTGTTTCAAAATCAAAGCTTTTGGTCTTAATTTTTTAATTATTATTATCTTTATCTTCTGGTTATGGGTGTTTTCATGCATGCATGTCTATACACCACATGTATGCCTGGTGCCCACCGAAGCCAGAAGAGGACGTTGGATCCCCTGGGACTGAAGTTACACACGATTGTGAGCCACTGTGTGAGTGCTGGGAATTGAACCAAGATCCTCTAGGAAAAGCAGCCAGTGCTCTTAACCACTCAACCATCTCTCCAGCCCCTGCTTCTGGCTTTCTAATGAACTGGATATAAATGACCGGAATGGGGGTGGTGTGTTACACCTGACTGCACCACAGCTTTCTTATGTCCTGTTTGAGATGGGATGCCGGTCTGTTTTATTATGTCAGAGATGGTCCAGGGTGACTCTGGGGACAAGACAACCCAGCTGAAGTGTCACAAGGCTACGCCTACCCATAGGTCCTGTCTCCACATTCTCTTCAGAAGACAAAAAAGAAGGCCTTACTCAAAAATGCCTAAGAGGGGACCTGGTGTGCTGACCCAGAAGCACAGGAATGACCTTTCCCAGCATCCTCCTGGTATTTCATCCCCCACTCCACCCCAAGGCAGGGCCGGCACCCCCATGTCACAGATTAGGGAACTGAACTTCCCTGGGGTGGAGTCGCCCGTCCCACGTCACCTGGATAGGAAGAGGCAGAGCCCGTAGGGTTTGAGGCCACGGTCGGCTGCCGGCAGAGCCTGGGCCTACTCCGCCTTGTCCCACATCTGGTTAGGGGAGAGAGGAGAGGAAGGCCCGGGGAAGAAAGATCTGAATGAAAACATAAGCTGGGAGAAGAGAGGCTTCGAACCTGGGGCTATCCGATGAGGAGGCCCAGGAGGCTGAAGAGTGACTGGAAATTATCTACAGTACCCAGTAAGTGCTGGAGGCCTGGGCAGTGGAGGCTTGGGAGAGGAGGGAAGGGTCAGCAGAGAGTGGAGGTCCACACAGGAGCCCTGGGGCCCCTGGCACACCTGCTGAGGTTTCTTTCTCCTTTCTTGAGCCATGGCCCTCACAGGCCCTGACCTGCCTCCCCCACCATCCTGTCCTGCCCCTTCACCTAGCAAACTGCCCCACCTCTGTGACGCCCCAGATCCCCCCTTCTCTCTTTGGAAAGGAGAAGAGAGGGTCCAAAGGAGGACCAGAGCCCACTGGGCCCAGGCTCTGAGGAGGGAGAGGCTCATAGGAGGAGAGGCAGAGATGGAGGCCTGAAAGAGGAGACAGAGACAGGCAGAGGGAGGCCTGGAAGGGATGGTACAGGACAAAGAGCCGAGACAAGAGGAGACAAGGATCCAAAGACATGCAGGGGCAGAGACCTAGTGGCAGGGAGACCAAAATCACACTCACAATTCTATAGGATGGGAGAGACGGGGCGGGGAGGGCCGAGACTCCGAAACCTGCGGAAAGGAAGGAGAAGTGGCCACAGGGGAGAGAGGGGCTTGGAGAGGTGACAATCTATCTCCCAGACCCCAAGGCTGCCTTGGGAGGGCGCCCTCACACCCCTCCCCCAGGGTGATAAAGCAGGGCTAGAAGCCCAGTCATCCCAGACCCGCCTGGGGCCAACCCCTTGCCTGCCTGCCTGCCTGCCTGCCTGCCTGGTGCTCAGACCCAGCCTGCTGCAGCTGCCACCCTGGGCTCTTTAGAGCCCCATCCCCAGAGCCCATGAGTGAGTCCAGGAGGGAAGGGGGGTTCTCCCCACCCCCACCCATTCCAGGAGACTGCCGTCCTAGGAGCTAGGCTTTTTCCATCCCAGCATGCATTTCCCCCTCCAATCTGTCCTTGGAGGGTAGGAAGGTACTTGAGACCACGCTCTGCGTCTCTTTGTATCTCTCACTTTCAAACTGCTGCCCCCAAACCCAATGACCTCTGTCCCCAGTTTAGGTGGCTAAGTCCTGCCCTTCTCTCTCACCCCCGCCCACCAGGGCAGCTGTAGGCACTGGCTGTCCCTTGGCCAACTCCACCCAGCCCTGTCCATCACAGGGGTTCAGCAAGGTGGAGGGAGGGACTTCACCGGTTGCTGAAAGGCCCCACAGGCCCCTATCATTGCTGGTGGAACAACAAAAATGAGGCCCTTACCCAGTAGGTAACCCCTTCTCTTTGTCACCCCATCACTTGGAGTTGTGGAGAGAGCCAGGTTCTCAGGGGAGTGAGAAGAAAAATATTCTCTAAGATTTCCCCAGGGGGCTTTCTCCTCCACTGGCAACTGAAAACCGAGTGGGCACAAGAGCCTTGTTCAACAAAGCCCCTCCCGCAGCTTTGGCGTGCCCTTCAACACCCAGGAAGCGGCTAGCCAAGATTCAAGCCTCTGTCCGAGGTCACTCCAGAAGCATAAGATTCTTCTTACAGGCTTGGGGGTTGTGTGAGAATCAGGAGGTTCCCTTGGGAGAAGGAGGCAGGTGGCCAGGGAGGCAGCGAGCCACGGCAGGTGAGGGCAAGAGGAAAAACCACAAGCCGTCCAATCTCCTCTTAGAGTGATTAGGTCTTCCTCCTTGTCCCAGGGGAACCTGGAACCCGCCCTGCTCTCCTCCAGGCCATGATGATTGTACGACTCATCGCACTTGCTCTGGTGACAGGTACAGTGGGCTTCGAGGAACGTGTGGGGCCTCCCTCTCCTGCTTCTAAGTCCCCTCCCCTACAGCCCAGGCCGTACCTGCTTGGAGATCGCTGTGAGCTGGTCTTAGCTATACCAAGCATGGTCAAGTGGGTCTCAGAGGAGGAAGAGGGGAGCTGGGTCATTTCAAAAGCCGAGGACAGCCTCTAATGATCTGGAAGTACAGTCTTATGCCGGTGCATGCCAGCTGAGAATGAGAACACTTTTGCTCCTCCCCACCTAATTTCTGGGGGTCCCTCTACCAGCCTACCTCCTCTTATGCTTACACCTCATCTTTTACCCCGTTCAGGGCACGTAGGGGGAGAGACAAGGATCATCAAGGGTTACGAGTGCGCCCCTCATTCCCAGCCGTGGCAGGTGGCCCTCTTTCAGAAGACAAGACTTCTCTGTGGGGCAACCCTCATCGCCCCCAAATGGCTCCTGACTGCAGCCCACTGCCGCAAGCCGTGGGTGCGGGGGCTGGGGCGGGGCTGGGAGGGGGTTGGAGATGGAGAGATGGATGGAGAGAAGGGCTGGAGCCAGAGAGAACATTGGGGGGGTAGCAGAAGTGGGTGGAGAGATTGGGGATGGTGTGGCATTAGCATGGATGATGGGAGTGTGGACAAGACTGGAGAGGGAAAAGTAGTGTTAGTGTGTATGATGGGAATTTAGCTGGGAATGAAGATGGAGGGATGGGGGATGGAGTGGTGTTCGTTTGTACAATGAAGATGTAGTTGGGTTGATGATAGAGGGATGAAGTGGCCTTAATGTGGGTGATGGTAGTCTAGTCAGGATGAGGATGGAGGAGTGAGTGATGCTGGAAGTGGGGTGGGGCTGGGTTTCACAAGGTACCATTCATCATCTCTCCCTCCCGACCCCTGCCCTGTCCCCCTACCTTTCCACCTCTGACCACATCTCTCCCACCTCAGCCGTTACGTGATCCTCCTTGGGGAGCACAATCTGGAGAAGACAGATGGCTATGAGCAGAAGCGGATGGCCACTGAGTCCTTCCCCCACCCTGGCTTCAACAACAGCCTCCCCAACAAAGACCACCGGAATGACATCATGCTGGTGAAGATGTCCTCTCCCGCCATCATCACCCGAGCTGTGCGGCCACTCACCCTGTCCTCACACTGCGTCACTGCGGGCACCAGCTGCCTCATTTCCGGATGGGGCACTACGTCCAGCCCCCAGTGTAGGGGCTCCCAAGGGAAATGCGATCAGGGTGGAATATGGGATTTGGGGGATGGAGACCAGATGAATCTTCAGAGATAAAGATCAGAGTCACTCAAGAGGCATGGTTACCTTAGGCTGTCAAGAGAGGGACGAGCTGAAAGGGAGATGGGAAATTCTGGGAGACTCACTTTGGGGCCTCAGAAGTGTGACAGGTGTGATTCCCAAATCTGTAACTTTCTGGTTGTGGGATCTAAGGCGGATGGCTTTACCTCTCTGAACTTTGGTTTTCTCTGTAAAAAGAATAATCATACCCACCTGTCACCGTGGGGTCAGAGACAACGCATAGGGAGCAAGCAGTATGGGGATCTACTCACAGTGTTGCTGTTGCTATAGTTCCAGCAGAGAGATGGGTGAGGGCAAGGACTGTCCCAGGTGTTGGCCACTGCGGTGAGGTTGGAGACTCAGGGCTCAGATTCACACCTTCCACTGCTGTCCCCACAGTGCGCTTGCCTCATTCCTTGCGATGTGCCAATGTCTCCATCATCGAACACAAGGAGTGTGAGAGCGCCTACCCGGGCAACATCACAGAAACCATGCTGTGCGCCAGTGTTCGGAAAGAGGGCAAGGACTCCTGCCAGGTCAGCAGGCTGGTTCTCCAGCTGCATACTCATTCCTAACCTCAATCACATCTTTACTGACATCCCCAGCCCTAACCCCAACCATCTCCAACCCCAGCTGCTGTTTCTGACGTCAACACAATCCATCTTCCCATGGTTATCCTTGACTCTAACTCCAGCCATCCACGACATACCTCTGGACTCTAACCCTATGTGTATTCTCACCCAGAATCCCACCTTCATCTCCCAACCTCTCACTAGTTCCACTGCCGAATTCTTCCTTGGCCTGCCTCCCACCTCCACCACTGTCCTCACTCCCATCACAAGCCCCCCACTTGACTCTAACTGATTGTGTCTCCTCTCATGCCAGGGTGACTCTGGAGGCCCTCTGGTCTGTAACAGATCTCTACAAGGCATCATCTCCTGGGGTCAGGACCCATGTGCGGTCACCAGAAAGCCTGGTGTCTATACAAAAGTCTGCAAATATATTGACTGGATCTACGAGATTATGAGAAACAACTAGAGGGGACCTGCTTGTCACCACCCAACCCCTCCAACCTCTTCTTAATGCTTTGACTTCTGTTCATTCTCCCCTAAGAACCCCTCAGCTGGGACCCTTGCATGCACTCTCTCTGACCCACCATGGATATAGTATAGGGGATGCTCTGACCTGATGATCAGCTTGGGGCTTGAAACAAAATCCTGGCTTGACCTGAGTTGTGACTCTGAAGATGATCATCACTGGCTTTGGTTGGTTTTTGTTGTTTTGTCCCTGGCCCTGAAGGAAGTTCGTGGCATATTCCAGGGTTTCAATAAATATTTGTTAAATGATCAAATGGTTCTAATTCAGTGTCAATTGCATTCAAATCCTGATCCAGAGGGCTTTTAAATGATGTCTGTGTGTTGAGTCTTTGCCTGCATATATGTATGTCACCACATGCCTGCTTAGTGCCTTGAGGAGTCCAGAAGAGGGCATCAGGTGTCCTGACAACTGTGTGGGACCAAAGCCAGGTCCTCGGCAAGAGCAGCAAGTCCTCTGAACTTCTGAGTCTCTTCAGCTCCCCAGAGGGTTTAAATGTTACTAACCAACTAAATGCTCACAACCCCCAGGGAGACTGGTCCTCTTTTCCTGTCCACTTTCCAGACAGGAAAATGGGCACAGACAGATGACCGCATTTGCTCACAGCCATACATCTGAGAAGTGAAAGATTGGAGGATTTAAAAGCGCAGCAACAGTCTTAGCTATCAAAGCAATGTCCCATTACAGCTCAGTTCATTTTCTTTTTATATTACTTAATTTTTTTCACATTTACTCATTCATTTATCAGAGGGTGCTCATGCCATGGTACACATGTGCAAGTGTGCAAACTGCAGGAGTCAGTCCTCTCCTCCCACCATGTAGGTCCCAGGATCAAACACAGGCTGGCAGGCTTGGCAGCAAGCGCCTTTACCCACCAAGCCCTCCTACAGGCTGGGCGGAAAGAACTCAGTTCAGCTCCTTCCCGGCACTCAGTTCATCTACCTGCAGAAAAAACTGCACATGCGAAAGTGTAAGAAGAGGGAGCGCATCTGAACCATGGAGTGAGAGGCAGTAAAGAAGGCTACCATCATCTTCAAACTGCCCAGATTCCGTTCACTGAGGTCAGTACTGAGTGGTATCATACCTGCTAGTCAAAATCAAGTCAGAGGACAAGAAAGCATGCTTCAAATGGCATGTTTCGAATGCTCTGCAGCTGCACGTGGCTGGTGGCTGCTAGAACATAACCGCTGTAGCAAAAAATCTGGACAAGGCTAAGCGGGACAAAAGATGCCCCGGATAACACAGACGTTCTGTTCAGCTCTTGGAGAGAGGTCGCTGGCACAAGGAAGAACTCAGAGCTGGAACTATATAGAACCTTCTGGTTGTTAGGCGGACTTGCTTGCTGTGTGACCTCTTATGAGTCACAGCCCTCTCTGAGCCTCCCATTCCTCACCCAAAACGAGGGTGTTAGCCGAGGTGATGCGGCCTGTCCCTTGCAGCCTGGGCCTCCTATGATTCACCAGCTCGTGTGTCACCTGGAGCCATGCAAGGAGGGTGCAAGATGCTCACACACAGGTTTAGTGCAAAGCTACAGATTCCCACCCCCACCCCACCCCCAAGCACATGCTGAGGCACAAAGAGCCTACTGTTTCTTGGTCTAGACCTCTGGGAGTTTGTCTATGTCCTTCCCACTCCTCCTTCCACCACCTGAACTCTGCCCACTTCCTTCCCTTCCGCATTCCGACACCTGTCAGCACCCACCTCTCTCCCTCTTCATCTCCCCATCCCATCACCCCAGGCTCCCAGAAGACTGGACACCCCCCACCACCACCACCACACCTGGGAACGCTTCTCAGAACCAGGCATGGGGGGAACCCCCAAGGAAGCCGGCTCCAAAAGGTGTTCCTGTCACCGGCAGAAGCCTGTATTCCAGGGCCCCTCCCGGAGCAGGAATCTGGGGCCCTGGTTGAGTGCCAGCCCCACCCACGTTATAATTAGGGAGAGGGAAAGAGAGGGAGTGAATCCCTGAGGGGAGGGTGGGGGAAGCTTCCGGGATCTTGGGGGTTAAAAGGGAAGGTCTGGCCAGGGGTCCCTGGTCAGAGGACTGTTTGCAGCCCACACTACAGGGCAAGAGACACTTCTGACTTTTCTCCCTTCTTCCCACTGGCGACTCCCAGGTGAAGCGGGATGCACCCCACCCTGGTTGGGGTGGATGGCGAGAGGATGGGTGGGGACCCTCGGGCAACGGGGCAGGAACCCTTTTGTAGCCCTGATTTCCCTGTAACATGGGGAAGTCCCTCAGCTCTGAGGTTAGGAAGAGGCTCCCACGGGCTCTGAGCAGGACCCCCACCCACCCACGAAGGAGAGTGGACCTGGAGCTCAGCGTGGCTGGTGGCCAAGAAAGGCTGGGGCACAAACCGCTCCCCTCTGGAGAAGCGAGGACTGAAGTCCTGAGCGCCCCTGGAGAGGGTCCCGCTGAGACCCAGGCACTCCGAGGCAGGGGTCTTGACTGAACATCTGTTTTAGCCCTCCACTCCGGCCTCTGCAAGCCAGGTGTCAGCCATGAGGGCCCCGCTGCTCTACTTCTCCACTGCCTCTAGCACCTTGGCCCTAGTGAAGCTGCTGCTGCCGCTACTGATGGTGCAACTCTGGGGTGAGCCTGGGGCCGGGGGCGACGGGAGGGAAGGACCAGGACCCGAGGAGGAGGGAGTATGGTCGCTGCAACCATACTTAGCTCGCCCTCCTGGGGGCCGAGCACCCACATAGCCATTCCAAGAAAGATCCATCCTCGAGTGGGCTCTTGTCGCCAGGTGCCGCGCCCCACTGGAACAAAACCCAGCCCCTTCGCTCCATCAGCTTCTCTGCCTCTCCTGCTTTGCATGCTTTCTCCTCACCCCTTGCAGACCCATTGCATCCCTGCCTATTCCTAAACGAGGTCCTCTAGTCTGATGTGCCTCTTCCCATCCTTGAACTAGACCTACCCTTCCCTCCTTCAGATCCCTTTCCACCTGCTTAGTGCTTCACGGCGTTCTGTCCCACTGTCCCACTGAGTCCCTGTCTCCTGCTCCTCACTGCCCCCACTGTGTTCCTGTCTCCAGCTCCTCACTGCCCCCAACACTGTCGCCGCCCCTCACTGCTCCACTGTGCTCTCTTCCTTTTACCGCCCCATTGTATTCTGTCCTTACTACCAACTGATTTCCGTCCCTGCTCCTCTCTGCACCCCCGCCCCTTTCCTACCACAGTCCTTGGCCTGCATCTGGTCTCTGCCCCGCAGGGTAAAGCCCTGCCTTTCCTACACACGGTCTCCCCCAGGCCCTCCTACTCCATCCTCAGTCCTGGGGTGTCTTCGTCCCATTCCGTTCTAAGCCCTCTTGCCCTGTCACGCCTCTCTGCAGCCAGTTCATAGGGTTCCCTAATTATCCCACGGTTCACGATCCAGCTGCGCCCCCTACAGGCCGATCCGGTGAAGCTCGGCACTGACCGGGTACCCAGCCCTGGCCAGGCGAGCCCTGATCCCACCCCCCCACCCCCCGCCTCCCCGCCCCGCTTCTCTACCCAGCCGCGCAGGCGCTGTTGCTCCCGGGAAACGCCACGCGCGTGGACCTTGAGGCGTCTAGTGTCCGCTGCACGCGTGACTCGCAGCCCTGGCAGGTCTCCCTCTTCCATAACCTCCAGTTCCAATGCGCGGGTGTCCTCGTGGACCGGAGCTGGGTGCTCACCGCCGCACACTGCTGGAGAAAGAAGTAAGGGATGCCCCAGAGGCAGCCACGGAAGGGCGGGGAGGATGGGGTTCGGGCACTCGCCCAGCTCCGGTCGGGTTAGGGGCAGCTGCCATTCTACAAAAGAGGTAGGATTCGAGCTGCACCGCCAGAGGATTCTGTGGGTCCATCGCACCTGTCCGCAGAAATCAGGGCCTGTCATAGTCAGTATTTAAGACAAAACAAAAAAAACCTGTCGTCCCCTCATGTGCCTGTCCCGCAGGGAGAAAGGACCAGGTGACACGGAGAAGGGAGAGGCGGGCATACTCAAAGAGCTGAGACGTTAGCCTTTAACCCTCACATTTCTACTCCCCTCCCTCAAACCCAGGGGTTCAAGTCCCCAGCCCTCCTCCCTCAGACCCAGACCCAGGTTTCCAGGCTCCAGCCTCTTTCATCAGACGCAGGGGTTCAGACCCTAGCCTTCTGCCTCAGTCCCAAGGGACCAGCCATAGTTTTTCTCCCAGACTTCTCTGATCTCAGGAGCCCCACTTCACTTCCAGACCCTCTGACCCGAGGACTGAGAGCAGGCTCTGTCTCCATGAAGGCTTTACCTCTGACTCTTCCTCCCTCTCCCCCAGGCCACTGAGGGCTCGAATTGGGGATGACCACCTGCTGCTTTTCCAAAAGGAGCAGCTTCGGTCCACGAAATCCCCCGTTTTCCACCCCAAGTACCAGCCTTGCTCAGGCCCCATCCTGCCACACCGCTCAGATGAACACGACCTCATGATGCTGAAGCTGAGCAGTCCTGTCGTGCTAACGCCCAGCGTGCATCCTGTGCAACTGCCCTTCCGGTGCGCCCAGCCAGGGCAGGAGTGCCAGGTTGCAGGCTGGGGGACCACAGCCGCCCGCAGAGGCAAGAACTGGACTGAAGGAGTGTACTTTAAGGGAGGAGGGCTGGACTCCTGGGTTTGAGGGAGGAGGCTGGGGCTGGGACCCTGATTCTGAGGGAGGAGGCTTAGGGAGGACCCCAGGGGTCTGAACACCTGTGTCTAAGGGTGGATGAGTGGGGTTAGGTCCCCTGGGTGTGCAGGAGGAAGGCTTGGGGCTGGACTCCCGGGTCTGGAGGAGAGGGCTGACTGGTCCCTGTGTGACTGGCCTGTTCTCAGTGAAGTACAACAGGAGCCTGAGCTGCTCCAGGGTAACTCTCCTTAGCCAGAAGCAGTGTGAGGTCTTCTACCCGGGCGTGATCACCAACAACATGATTTGTGCTGGGCTGGACAGAAACCAGGACTCCTGCCAGGTAAGGACGGGCCAGGAAGCATGTCTGTCTCCTGCATAGCAGGGCAGGACAGTGAAAGGGCTGCCTCTGCTGCCTCTGCCTTCCCTCACTTCCCTCCCGAGTCCTCAGCCCTCCCTACTCCTAACCCTTTCTCAACCTACTTCCTCCCTCAATCCATTTCTCACCCTACCAACCCCTATCCTTGATCCTTCTCGGTCCCCTCACCTCTGATGAGCCACAGTTCCAAAAGCAAACCCATCACATCTCCACTGTCTCTTCCCAACTCTGCACCGCCATACCACCCCAACTTGTAACATCACCCCAGCCCCAAGCCAGCATCTTCTGTGTCCCAGCCCATCAATAGCCCTCCAGACAGTGGCAGCTCTCACTTCATGGTGTCTCCTTCCTCTTACCCTCAGAGTGATTCTGGTGGACCACTGGTGTGTGACAACACTCTGCATGGCATCCTCTCATGGGGTATTTACCCCTGTGGTGCTACCCTGCATCCAGCTGTCTACACTGAGATCTGCAAATACATTCCCTGGATCCAGAGAGTCATTCGCTCCCCTTGACCAGCCTCTCACACCCTTCTTCCCCACCCCCTTCCATCCTGTCATGCCCACTCACACCTCTGAGCATGCATCCTCTCCCCTCACCCCCTGCCCACTCCTGTCCTCTGCTCACAAGTGCAGGAAATGGTGGCCGAGAAACTTCTAGTACCTCAAGGAAGCTGGCAATCCCCCAGTCTCTGAGCGTCATCAGAGTCGTTCAACCTGGCTTCCTCTACCTCCCTCTTCCGTGTGACTGAGGCAAGCCTGGTACTCTCTCTGTGCCTTGGTTTCCTGTCTGAAAAATGGGGACAATGAATTGTCTACCTCTTACATGTGTTGTATAGAGACCATGATGGAATGTGCATGTGTGGATTTTATGGTAATTGTCTCGGAGATGTGGACACAGTCTGGTGAGCTCTGATTAAACACTACCTGATCTGACCTCCAGAGTGTGTGCTTCTGTCTGGGATCAGGGCCAGTGAGTGCACAGAAGGGCGGCCTTCATAAGTGTCAGGAACAAGGAAGAGGCTCCACACTGCCACCCACAGCATCTTCAGAGTCCTTTCATGTCTTAGGGACCTCAGTTCAGGTAAAACTGGACTCATGACAAGCCAGTGTGCAGTAGAGTTGGAGGTTTGTTTTGTTTCTTAAAATTACATGTATGTCGTGTGTGTGTGCACGTATGCGTGCACACGGCATAGTACGCGTATGGAGGTCAGAGGTATTTGGCTGTCTCCTTCTACCGTGTGGGTCCCAGAGTTTGAACTCAGTCATCTGGCTCAGCAGGGACACTTCCACCCACTGAACCGTCTCCACGGATCTTGTTCATTTAAAAAATTATTTATGTGCATGTATGTAGGCACATGCATAGACATGAGGATACTTCAGGAGCCAGTTCTTCCATCCCATGTGTGGATTCTGTCAGGCTTGGTGGTGTCTTTACCCGCTGAGCCAACTTACTGGCCCAAGTTGGAGTTTATTGCAAGAGATTTTTATCATAGATTTTAAGCACAAGGGTTAAAAGACAGAGAGGCGCTTGGGAAGAAAGCAGTATACACCTAAGACCATAAGCACGGCCTTCTTTTTATCATTATATATGTGTGTGTGTGTGTGTGTGTGTGTGTGTGTGTGTGTGTGTGTGTGTGTGTGTGTGTGTGTATGCATGCAGAGGTGCAAGTGTGCGTGCGTGCGTAGGTCAAAGGACAATTTGTGAGAGTCCGCTCTCTCCTTCCCCTGTGTGGATTCCAGGGATCGAACTCAGGTCCTCAGGCTTGCCAGCACGTGATTTTACCCACTGGATTATCTCACCTGCCCCAGGGGTAGGGCTTCTCGAAGAAGAATCCGGCTCACTGGTTTTAACAATAGCCAAAATGGGATTTTCAATGGGGTTTGGAGTTACCACTATATGATATCTCATTATATTCATATAATTGCACCATTACATCTAAATGAGATCACAGGGTGGCTTCTGGGCACACCTGGTGGGATTACAGAAGAGAACGTGGAACTCCAGATCAGGGGGCTCATCTGTGGAAGAAAGTCCTCAGGCGAAGAGAGAGGTCCCAGGTCAGACACACTTGGTTCTTTGGCCCAGATTACTGTGAGTTTAGAATTCTTATGTGAAAATATTTCTATATAAAAGAAATATTGGACCAGCCAGTTAGCTCCATGGCTCACACAGGTGGAAGGACCATCCCATGTACACCATGACACACACGTGCGGGAATACACCCAAATTAAATAAATGTGAAAAAAATATTAAGAAAGAAAGAAAAGAAAAGAAGGGTCTGGAGAGAGAGCTTAGCAGTTAAGAGTGTGGGCTGCTCTCCAGAGGACCTGGATCCAACTCCTAGCATCCACCTGGCAGCTCAGGACCAGCTGTAATTCCAGTTGCAGGGGCTCTGATGCTCTCTTCTGGTCTCCAGGCATGCATGTGGTGCACAAACATACAGGTGGACAAAACACCAATACACATAAAACTCAAATTTACAATATGGGCTGGGGAGATGGCTCAGTGGTTAAGAGTGTGTACTGCTTTGCAGAAGACCTTGAATTTAGTTCCCGGCACACAAGGAGTCAGATGCTTCTGGCCTCCCCAGGCACCTACACGCATATCCATGTACCTATCTACAGACACACACAAATATACGTGATTTTAAAATAATAAATAAACATAACTCTTACCAACAAAAACTAAAACAAACAAACAACTCCATATGTTTAATTGTGCTGGAACCCCTGTCTCTTAGCTAGTGAGAAACTTCAGCTAGACTCTGGAGTAAGGGACCCCTCTTCCATCATTTTCCCTTTCTATCCTGCCTCACTCCTACACGTCCACAAGTCTGATGGGAAAATCAGATTCTCCATTCCCCTAAGCTTTTGGAAGTGTCATTTAACCACTTCCTCTTCCCTTCCCACTGGGTCTCATTTTTGGGTCCACCCAACACCAGTTCTTCCCGTCCTGGCAGGAACTAGCCTGGCTTTGGGTCACCTGACACACTCTCTGCCTTCCTAGGGGCCCCATGCAGCATCCCATGCCCACTCCCAGGTGCAGCCAAGAGCCTCCCTGTGGGAGTTAGGAAAACTGTGCCCTATGTTAAGGGGCTCTGAGGGTTTTGTCAAAGAGATTATTTTCCTCATCCTGCTATGGTCTGTGGGTAAATGTTTATATTCTGAAAGGTGTATGGACTTCTTCACAGAGGCAAGATGAAACAGAAATGTGTTTGAGCAGCCTGATTTAGCAGAGGGGAATTTAGTTTGGGTCTTGAAGGATGAGTAAGAGTTCATCAGAAAAAGGATATAGAGAAAGGTGTTCACTTACTCAATCAGCACATTTCCCCTTCCAAACACCAATTAATTGAGACTGTTGTCTGCCAGGCCCAGTGTGGGAAGGGAAGAAAATAATGAACATGGAAAGGTCCCTGTTCCCAGTAAAGCCCACAAAGTGTTGATGTCCAAGGTCAGAACATGGAGTCTGACCCACAGCCTCCTTCTGGTGGCTCTTCCCGCATGCCACACCATTAGCACACTCAGGAAATGTCAATCCTGTGTGTCATCTGAGGATCTGAAGCAGAGTAAGGAGGGTCTTGCAGACCAGCCTCATGTTTGGAGGTAATTCACCCATGTCCTCTGCCAGGCCCAGAGATGACTCCAACCAAGCCCTACCCCCAGGAAGCTGCTCATTAGGTCGAGAAGACAGGCAAGTCTCACATTCCTGTCATTCAGGTCACTTCCTCCAGGAGGCCTTCCTGGGTTGCCATAGACCAAGTGTCCCATGTTGGTTTCAGATCTCAGTGGCTCAACCCAGCTCCTCTGTGGCGCCGGTGACAGCTCCTGTTGTCTTGTGTCTTCATTTGATACCGTCTCCCCATTGCACACTACTGCAACCTACTACCTGAAACAGAGCTATCGGCTGTGTTAGACTTCTGCATATTAAATAAGACAATAGAAACAAACTTCTTGTTTAAGTTCAGGCTGTTGAGGGGCTGGAGATGCCTCGGTGGTTTAGAGCACTGGCTGCTCTTCCAGAGACTCAGACTCAATTCCCAGCACCCACATGGTGGCTCACAGCCATCCATAACTCCAGTTCCAGGGCCCAATGTCTTCCTCTGACCTCTGCAGATACCAGGAATGCACATTATACACATACGCCATAAAATAAAATTCTAAAAATCTAACTTTTAAAAATAAAATCCCACTTTAGATGATTGGGCCGGCAAGATGGCTGAGCGGGTAAAGGTGCTTGCTGCCAAGCCTGATGGCCCGGGTTTGATCTCCAGGATCCATACAGTGGAAGGAGAGAAATGACTCCCACAAGTTGTCCTTTGACCTCCACGCATGCTCTGCATCATGCCCACATACAGTCAATTAAATGAACGTAATTTCTAAAAGGTGCCTGAGATGGCTTAGCAGTTACAGAGTCCTTGCTGCTCTGACATGAGAGCCAGAGTGAGGCCTGGCACTAACAAACACCTGCAACACACAGAATACATCCTTTTTTAAAGGATCGCTATTAACATCTACTTTTTTAAAGATCTATTTTATCTTTATTTAATTTTATGTGTGTGTAGATGAGCATGTACCTTCGGATGCCAGAAGAGGGTGTCAGATCTCCTGGATCTGGAGTTAAAAGTCACTGTACAGGCTACTGATGTAGGTACTGAGAACGGAATCCCGGGTCCTCTGAAGAGCAGCAAGTGCTCCTAACCACTGATTCATCTCTCCGGCCCCTAGAATATGCTCTTGAAGAACATGTGTAGTCCTTAGCACGCAGCATCTAGTCCCAGCTCTCTGAGACAGCCACGAGTGAATGGGGAGTAAATGTGCCCTTGGCTAACGAGCACTTGAAGACTGGGCAGGGCTTTTTGGTGGATGAGAAGACAGTTTGTTGGCCATTCTTCACATAGCAAGCGCTTCTTTTTCTTTTTTCTTTTGTATGTGTGTATGTGTTCATAGGCACGTGCATATGTGTGTGCATGTGGAGGTCAGAGGTCCACAGCATTTGTCTCCATCTCTTGATCTCCACCCTTTCTTCCTTTTGAAAATATCAGTTTTTAACTTTTTTAAAAAGTATTTCTCTATTTCATATGTGGGGGTGTTTTGCCTGCACATATGTCTGTGCACTGGGTGAATACAGTACCCCAGGAGGCCAGAAGAGAACACAGACCCCTGGGGCTGGACAGCTGTGAGCAGTCAGGTGGTTTCAAGGAACTGAACCCGGGGCCTCTGGAAGCAGCCAGTGCACTTAATTCCTGGGCCATCTCTCCAGCCCCACTACCTCTCCTTATACATTTATTCTTTTTAATTTGTGTGCATGTGCATGGGATGGAGGCTGAGGGGATCCACAGTGCATATATGGAGTTGAAGGACAACTTGTAAAACTCAGTTCTCTCTTCCTTCCACCAGGTGGGTCCTGAGGATCAAATTCAGGTCAAGCTTGGCAGCAAGCACCCTTACCACTGAGCTTTCTCATTGCTCCTCCTTGTTTTTTGAGACAGAGCTTCTGACTGAACCTAGAGGTCACAGATTGGCTAGCCTGGCTGGCCAGCAAGTCCCCAGGATCTGTCTCCATCTTGCCAGCGCTGAGATTTAAAGCACATGAGCCATGGTGTCTGTCTGTCTGTTTGTTTGTTTGTTTGCTTGTTGTTGTTGTTGGTGATGGTGGTGGTGGTGTGTGTGTGTTTTAAGCAGGAGCATTGATTGAACTCAGGTTTGCACACAAATGCGTTACCCACTGAACCATATCCCCAGGTTCTTATGAGAGTAACATCTGTTAATTAGTGCCATTGCTCCCTCCCTGCAGCTCTGGTTATTATTGTCATTTAACAGCCCTGGCAACTAAGTCATGCATCTAATCTTAACCCCCAAGAAAACTGAGCACAGATTGTCCAGCTCAGAGTGCAATGTCACAGGGAAGGGGTGTTTCAGGGAGCAGATCTCAACTGGATATCCAGGCTCCTGAGCAGCAGAAAGTGGACGGTGCCAGTCAAGGCCAAGTTGGCCTCGGCCTGGAGAAAGCACGGAAGGCATGCCAGCAGAGGGGCGTTTAGCGTGAGTTTTGAAGATGAGTAAGAGTTTATCAGAAAAAGAAGGATATGGGGAAAGACGTCCACTCAATCATTGGCATCTTTGGAGGACTCCAGAGAGCCCCACCCAGAACAGGGTGATACTAGGGACAGAAATGAGTCAGACCCAGTCTGGGCTCTCCAGGGGATTCACCCCATGCTGGGAGGGAGAAGCAGCAAAGACTGACAAAATACGGGTAGGGGAGATGGGTAAGAACAATGCAGCAGGTGTGAGGCCCTGGGGGGTGTTAGAGGAAGGGGGGAAGAGGGGAGAGACTTGGGCTTGGTACCAGGGAAGTTGAGTCCCTGGCTTCTTGGGGTGCTTGGGACTATGGGGAAGGTTATGACAAGAGTGGGTTAGTCGAGATGGGGCCAGATTTCTCAACACCACAGGAGAGGCTGTAATCTTGAGGGAAGGAGCCCTGATCCCAGTCCCAGAACAGGTTTGATTTGGTGGAGAGAGCATCATTGAGAGATTCATTCATTCTCTCTCATACATTCATCTTCTCCTTCCCTCCCTCCCTCCCTCCCTCCCTCTCTCCTCTCTCTCTCTCTCTCTCTCTCTCTCTCTCTCTCTCTCTCTCTCTCTCTCTCTCTCTCCTCTCTCTCTCTGCTATCCCTCCCTCCCTTTCTCTTCCTTCTCTTTCTCCTCCTCCCCATCCCCTCCTCTTCTTCCTCCAAGCCACAGAACATTCTGGACCCAGATCTCACAGCCTGAGGTCATGGGAAGTGAACCCCCACCCTCTTAAGGCTCTGACAGAACCTCTCCAAGGCCCAGCACCTCCTCCGCATTTAGCCTATTCTGCTAAGCTAGGAGCCCTCATGGAGAGTCCCTCTTGCGCCCACCTTCTCTCCCAGAGGACCCTGGCATCAGACCGTCCCCTCCCCCGGGGACATTTCTCAACCCTGATTAATCACAGGGGCGGCCCCAGGGAGGAGGAAGGAAGATCTCTATGGCTTACCATAAAGAAGGTCAGGCGCCCAGCCGCTGGACCTGCGCCCAAGGCCATGAAGCTGGGACTCACCTTGGTGTTGCTCTCTCTGCTGGCAGGTGAGAAGCCCAGCCCCATGCCCTCCAACCCCATGCTACCCTATGTGGTATCCTCTGCCCTCTGGACTCCCTAGCATCCTCCTCCTTGAGCTCTCCCTAGCCTGCTGGTTCTGACCCCTGTGTCCTCCACCGCACCTCAGGCCACTGTGGAGCCAACACCCGCGCCGTGGGAGCCCGGGAATGCCAGCTCCACTCTCAGCCTTGGCAGGCGGGCCTTTTCTACTTCACCCGGCAGCTCTGCGGAGCCACGCTCATCAGTGACCGATGGCTGCTCACAGCTGCCCACTGCCGCAAGCCGTGAGTGCCCAGGGCTGGCCAGGCCCAGCAGGGGCTGGGAAACAGGAGGAGGGAAAGGGCTGAGGTGGGGGACTGGGGCTCAGGGTTGGAGGCAGAAGAGGTCTGACACCAGGCCAGGGCTCTTAGGGACCTGCTCAGACACCTTATTCTAAGACTCATCAGGTAGGCTCTTCAGGGTCTTGCTGTGTAGTCCTGCCTGTCCTGGAACTTGCAATTTTGACCAGACTGGCCTGGAACACAGAGAGCCACAGACATCTGCCTCCCCGGAGTGCTGGGATTATAGGCATCCTAGCTCAACCAGGAATTCAAGATCATCCACAGTTACACAGAGAAACCAGCTGGGATACATATGACTCTCTCAAGAAAGGGGTGAGGGGGCCGAGGGAGTGATGGAGGGAACAGAAAAGAGAGAGGATGAAGAGAGAAGGGAAAAGAAGTAGTGATGGGAGAGGAAGGAGGGGAGGGGTGAAAGAAAGATGGATGGAGAAAGACCTAGAGAAAGATGGAAGGGAAAACTCTAGAATCCTATGGTCAGAAAGTATTAGATGTTTCAGCCAGTGTTTGGAACAGAGAGAATTCTAGAAGCTTAGACTGATGAACATGTAAAATCTGGTGGGTTTAGCCAGCTGGTGGTGGCCCACGCCTTTAATCCCAGCACTCGGGAGGCAGAGCCAGGCGGATCTCTGTGAGTTTGAGGCCAGCCTGGGCTACCAAGTGGGTTCCAGGAAAGGTGCAAAGTTACACAGAGAAACCCTGTCTCAAAAAAAAAAAATCTGGTGGGTTTAATGTCCCAGGATTCCACCACTGCAGAGTCTTATGGACCAAGAGGGCTTCTCTCAGGGGCTGTCAACTGTGGCTGTTCAACGTTTTCTGAATCAAATGTTTATAACTGACTGGTGAAACCCTTGCCTTACTGTCCTAGACTTGGGAGTCTTTGAGCATTAGGTTTAAGGCAGACAATCTTAAAATCCTGAAGTTTGTTTTTGAGACAGGGTTTCACATGGCCCAGACTGGCCTTGAACTTGCTATGTAGCCAAAGATGGCCTTGAACTCCTGTTCTTACTTCTACCTCCTGAGTGCTGGATGACAGGCATTCATCCAGGACTAAGATCTCAGATTTTGTGATGGAATAAAATGTAGAATGTTAGACGCATGAATCAATACAGCTCTCTAAGTTGAGCATCGCAGAATTCAGAAGCATGGGCAACGAGGTATTAGACTCTTAGAATTCTAGGATCCTGGTTCTGGGTGTTCTAGGGTCCTGGACCCCATGAGATGAAAGAATTCTCTGTTCATTGCCCCTGGCCAAGGTCACCCAGGCTGTTCCAATATTCTCGCCAGGAATTTCCCGATATGCATCCCTCCAAGATTAGCACCATCTTGGGCTGAGAGAGTGATGTGTTGATTTAGTCCCAGAGATAAGAGGAGAAAAGGCAGGGCTGTGGAAATGCAGGAAGAGTCAAGGGAGGCACAGAAGGGCTGGCTTCCGCACCCCCAGATCGTCAGAGAGAGGTAGACACAGAAATAACACCTCACACTCCCCAAACCCTGAATTTTCAATCATCACCATCAAAGGTTGGAGGCTAGGGGACATGGAGACCTTGGGAAGTCCCCAACTGTCCACAGCATGGACTCAGAACAGAACAAGTTTTCTGGGGCTGCAGCAGGAGAACCTAAGGTCAGATATGAAAAAGAAATGCCTGGGCAATAAAGGACATTACAGGTGGGAGTGGCTTACGGCCTCTTGGAAAACTTGGACTTTTTCCATGTTCCGCCTCCCTCCAGACACATCTTAAAAACACTTAAAGCTACTCCCACAGAAGCCACCAGACCTGTGGGGGCAGGGGCAAGGTTGTGTTTGTGTGGTAGCTGAGTCCCCATGCATGCACAAGGTACTCGTGGACCCAGTCACCGCTGAAGCCCCAGGATAGGGGAGAAGGTGGGTGACTCCGAAGGGTAGGCTAAGAGCCTCAGAGAGGGTATGTGGCTGTGGAGGGGTACACAGTACCTTAGGGGGACCGAGCCACCTGTCCCCAGCCTGATCTCTGACCTGTCCTCAGGTACCTGTGGGTCCGCCTTGGGGAACATCACCTGTGGCAGTGGGAGGGCTCTGAGAAGCTGCTTCTGGCCAGAGACTTCTTCCCCCATCCTGGGTTCAATTCGGACCTCTCTGCCAATGACCACAATGATGACATCATGCTGATCCGGCTACCCAGGAAGGTCCAGATGAGTGCAGCTGTGCAGCCCCTCAACCTCAGCCAGAGCCTGCCAACCGTGGGCTCCCAGTGCCTCATCTCTGGCTGGGGCAGCGTGTCCAGCTCCAAATGTATGGACACGCCCTTGAGCCTGCTCATTTCTTACCATCTCCCTCTCTGCTCCTCTTCTCCCTCCACCTCTTCCTCCTCCTCCTCCTCCTCCTCCTCCATCTTCTCCTCTTCTTCCCCTCCCCGTTTCCTTCTCCCTCTTCTTCCTCCATCTCTCCCCTCCTTCCTCTTCCTCCTTCCTCCTCTTCTACTCTTTCTCCTCCTTTTCCTCTTTCTCTTTCCCCTCTTCCTTCTCCTTTCCTCATTCTTTTCTTCTTCCTCCTCCTTCCTTCCTTCTCCTTTTCCTCTCCTCTTCATCCCATCCTCCTCCTCCTTTTTCCCCTCCCAGCCTCACCCCTGCGATGTGTTAGCTCCCAGCCTCACCCCAGATTCAGTGAGAGACCTTGTCTCACGGGAATAATACAGGTCCTCCTTTGGCCTCTGTATATTCATACGCAGTTGTGTATACCCACACGTGTGCATATAACACACACTTACACACAGAAAATCCAGGGCAGCGTATGGTGGTGCACGTCTTTAATCCCAGGACTTGGGAAGCAGAGGCAAGCAGATCTCTAGAAATTTGAAGTCAGTTTGGTCTGCATAGAAAGTTCTAGCTAAGGCTTCATATTGAGATTTTTGTCTCAAAAAACAAAAAATGTATAAATAAACAAATAATAAAATTCAAAGAATGGGCAAAAAGGTGTTTACATTCTTAAAGTAGCACCCACTTGGCAGGATCAATAATACAGGCTACCCTTCAGAGCAGTAGTAGAGGCTACACCCCAGGGATTCTGTCTGCAAGAAATCAAGTACTACCACTGTGCTGTCCACTTCCTGTTAACATCTCTGGACTCTTTTCTCTGCATGTCTGCCTTGCCATTTGCCTCTGACAGTGGTTTTCCCCTCAGGGGTGTCCATCTCCCTCACTGGTCTCTATTCATGCCTGTGAGTTATACACACACATCTTCCCTCTTTTCCCTCTCCCTTTTGGTCTTCTCCCCTCTTAGACAGCTGTTCTTCTGCAGCCTTGTGATTGTCTAGGTTGACATCTCTTACCTCCATCTTTGAGTCTTGGCCCTGTGGCTCTGCAGGAGTCCTGGGGAAGGAAGGGTTGCAGGGTGCTGTCTGGGATTCTGGGAACATCCTCCATCCTCTACCTTCTTCCCCAACAGTACAGTACCCAATGACACTGCAGTGCGCCAACATCAGCATCCTGGACAACAAGCTCTGTCACTGGGCGTACCCAGGCCACATCTCTGAGAAGATGCTGTGTGCTGGCCTGTGGGAGGGCGGCCGAGGCTCCTGCCAGGTGAGCCACCCCCTGCAGGGAGATGGGAGCCTTTTTCTCGACCTTAGGGCAGGAGATGGCTGGAACCACAGACTCCAGGACCTAGGGAAGAAGGGTCCTGGGGATCTAGACTGAATCCTAGGGATTCTGGGAGCCCAGGATGCTACATGGTGGGGTGAGGATGAGATGTGTGAGCTTTTATTCCTGGGTCTAAGGGAGGAGAGACTAAACCAGGCCTCCTAGGTGTTGAATAGCAGGAAACAGGAGGCTTTCTCAGAAGGGAGCTTCGATTCTCATGAATAGATCCAGCTAACAGCTCTGCTCTTCATGCATAGGGTGACTCTGGGGGACCCTTGGTGTGCAACGGAACCCTGGCGGGTATAGTGTCTGGGGGATCTGAGCCGTGTTCCAGACCCCAGAGACCCGCTGTCTACACCAGTGTATTCCACTACCGAGACTGGGTTCAAAAAACCATGGAAGAAAACTGAGTCCATGCTAAGGACAGACTGGAGAGGATGATGGATAGAGGACGGGAAGATACTGTAGAACTCCACAGCTCCAGCTTCTCTGCCCTAGACCTCCAACCTTCATGTCACAGCCCATGACCATGAAACTCTGCCCCCTCAGGCTCTGCCCCTCTGACGCCACTCCTTAGGCTCCGCCCCAAGACTCCACCCCCTTAGGTCATCTGCCCTCTCGGGTTCTGCTCCCAGGCAAAGCAATTATAAGACCACGCCCCTTCAGAACCCAACAGAGATACGCCTCCTTTGTTCTTGACCCAGACTACATGACTTTAATCACCACTCTCTGGAGTAGCCCAACCCTCAAGATCACCTCCAAGAAATATCTTTTACTAAATAGCTGAATCCCTCCAAATTTTACCGTGTCGGATTTCTTCTCTGGACTCCACCCCTCGTGGCCTCACCTCCGCTGCTGTCAGGTCTGCGTTAACTCCTCCCACATGGACTTCAGACGATTTTGGGTTCTGCCCAAGCTGTGTCGTGGGTTTGATTCTTGAGAGAGGATGATGGGGGCATTGATCTCTCCAGAGCCACTGGATGAATCAAAATAAACCATAGGGGCAGTGACTTCCTATCGTCTGTGATGTGGGATGAAGGGTGCTCACAGGTGGGAAAGAAAGGGCAAATGAGGGAACCGACACCAGCCGAACCTTTGTGCTAACCCTAACAACAAGCCTATTGCAGCACTTTGGGACTTCAGCCAAGGCTGGTCCCGCCGCCCCAGGGGCGAGGGGAAATCAGGTCACAGCGCCACCCGAACCTGCCTACCCAGATGCCCCGGGCCGGCTGCTGATCCACCCTCAAAAGTCCCCAAGCAGAACACACTCCTTCCCTACCTTCCACAAAGCACAGCTCCGACAGAAGACAGTCCCCTGCTCCCTCTGACCCTGGAGAACACCCCAGGCCTCCTCCTTCAGATTCAGCCTCCACCCTAAGACTCAGGGGTCCACACCTTAGCCCTCCTTCCTCAGATCCAGGGGTTCAGACTAGGTATTCAAATCCCAGCTCGCTTCCCTCGGACTCGGGGATTCAGGCTCCACCTTCCTCCCTCACACTCGGGTCCAAGCTGCAGTTCGCCTCTCTCAGACCCAGATATCCAAATACCAGCCCTCTTCCCTTCGACCCAAAGGTGCAGACCCAGCCCTCCTCCCTCAGACTCAGGGATCCAGATCCTAGCCTCCTCCCTCAGATCCAAGAGACCAGATTCCAGCTTCTTCCCTCCCCCTGACCCAGCTCTTTGCGTTCTAGCCCGGGGGTCGGTGCATAGCCCCTCCAGTCCTCACCTCGGCTTCCGAGACTCCAGCCCCTCCTCCTACAGTCACTCAGTCCCCGCCCCTCCTCGCGCGCTTGCGGGCTTAGCCGCACCGCGGCCAGGTGCGGGCAGGAGGCGGAGCCATGGGCAGGGCTTCCTAGTTAAAAGGCTGAAAAATCGTGTACCCAACACACTGAAGGAAGTCCGGGGGCCACTTCCACCGAGTCCGAGTGACCCCTCCCCCTGCATTCTGGAAGGTGAGGCGCAGAGGTCCCTAGACACGGATCTCAGGCGCAGGGATCTCCCCCTCCCCTGAGCCCAGAATCCCCAAGCCACACATCCTTTCCTTCAGGATCTTCAAGCGGGTCTTCTACCTCCCTCCGCCACAAAAGGTTGTAGTCACAGCCTCAGATCTTTCTCCCCCATCCCACGAGTGAGCCCCAGATCCTTCCTTTAGAGTGTCGGGATCCCTGCCAACAAGCTGTCCCACACGCGAAATTCCGGGATCTAGAGCTCTGCCCCAGCTTCCTCAGACCCCCAACTCCATCCTCCGGAAACACCTCCTTCTCCTAGTTCCCAAAACAAGATCTCAGGCTCCTCCCTCGGACGTCCTCTCAGCTCCACCCTCTTCCTCAGAGGCCACCATGGGACGCCCCCCACCCTGTGCAACCCAGACGTGGATCCTTCTGTTTCTGCTGATGGGAGCGTGGGCAGGTGAGGTGGATAGGTGCTATCACCCAGGGCCTTCAGTAGGGTGGGAGTTACCGGACTCTGAGTGAGCTTCTGCTGACATAGGGTGCATGTGGTGGTCTTGGGGACCGAGGAGCTTTCTCAGAAGTGGTCAGAGGTAGCAACATATGGTGGTAGTGGGTTGAGTTTTCCTGTAGGTGTGTGGCTGCAGAAGGGACTCTTGTTGCCTGCCAGACGAGGAATGAAATTTGGGTGTGGGCATATAAAGACCCATCTAGATGTATGTGGAAGCATGGTGGGGGCTGTGTTGATGATTCTCAGGTCTCAATGAGTTTACATGTGTGGCCATGTGGCCGTGTTCTGATGGATGCCAGAACCTCATCTGTTGAAGTCATAAGAGATGACATGCAGAGGAACTGGCCTGTGTGTCCATTTGAACCCACAGTGGCTTTCCTGGCCCTGGCTCTGCCCCGGAGGGTGGCGACCCACCCTTCTCCCTCCTGATGCAGGACTCACCAGAGCTCAGGGATCCAAGGTCCTGGAGGGTCAGGAGTGTAAACCCCACTCCCAGCCTTGGCAGACAGCCTTGTTCCAGGGCCCGAGACTGGTCTGCGGGGGGTGTCCTGGTAGGAGACAACTGGGTCCTCACTGCAGCCCACTGCAAAAAACAGTGAGTGGAGCGCTGGGCACAGATGGGTGGGACTCAAGGGAAGAGGGTGAGGGCTCCGTTTGAGCAGGAGAAGTTAGTACCCTGGGTCTGAGGGAGGAGGGCTAGGGAGGGGTGGGGAGGACCACTGTATCTGAGTCAGACAGGCTGGACTCCTGGGCTTGATAGAAGAGGATTGGGTTCTGAAGGAGGAGGGTTGAGGAGAATGCCTATCTACCTCCAACTCCTGCCTGGGTTCCAACCTCCACCCACCAACCCCTCTGTGCAGGAAGTACTCGGTGCGCCTGGGAGATCACAGCCTGCAGAGTAGAGATGAGCCAGAACAGGAGATCCAGGTGGCTCAGTCTATCCAGCATCCTTGCTACAACAGTAGCAACCCAGAGGACCACAGTCACGACGTAATGCTCATTCGAATGCGCCATTCGGCAAACCTCGGGGACAAAGTAAAGGCCATCAACCTGACCAATCAGTGTCCCAGAGTTGGCCAGAAGTGCACCATATCAGGCTGGGGCACTGTCACCAGTCCTCGAGGTAATAAGCTGGGTACTTATAGAGAGGGTGAAGAGAAGGCAGACGGCCCGTCGGATCCCACTGCAGACCTTATTTCTAAACACACCTTGACCTATGCACACCCTGAGAGTAGGTAACGAAAGAGGAGAGTGACCACAGCATCAAGTTTTGTGAAGAAGGGGCGAGAATACTGGGGCGGGGGCGGGTGGGTGGGTGGGAAAGACTGTAAGTAAGTTATTTGCTGAGCAAGGGTGAGAACCTGAGTTCAGATTCCCAGCACCCACGTTAAAGCCAAGTGTGGCACCATGCACTAGTGCTGGGAGGTGGAGCTAGGTAGACCCCAGGGTTCGTTAGCAAACAGTATAGCCTAAAGGGTGAGATCTAGTTCAGTGAGAGACCCTGTCTCAATACAAATATGTGGTGAGGTGCAGGTACTGTTTGTTTTTTAAATTATATTTATTTGTTTATGTGTTTGGCTATGAGCATGTGCACATGTTTGCACGCTCCAGCACACATGCCGAGGTCAGAGGGCAGTCGGTAGGAGTCACTCATTTCCTTCCACTCTATGGGTAGGGGCGGAACTCAGGTTGTGAGGTTTGACAGCAAGCGCCTTCATCTGCTGAGCCACCTTACCAAACCATGGTGTGCTCTTGTGATCACAGCACTGCGGAGCTAGATAGACAGATGGATCCCGGGAACTCTCTGGCCAGGCTGAACTGATGGCTCAAAAAACAAGGTGGAATCCATCTGGAGGATCAACACCATTGGTTAACTGCTGAACACGCAAACTCTCTCTCTCTCTCTCTCTCTCTCTCTCTCTCTCTCTCTCTCTCTCTCTCTCTCTCTCATTAACCTGGGACCCACAATAGAAATCTTGAATGCTAGATAATGGGAAAGGGATTAAACAGATTGTTAATGTTAAGTAGAATTCAAAGAGAGAAAAAGAAAAAAATGTTTCTTTCATGTTGTACACACTTCCATTGTATAGAGAGCTTTATATAAACTTTCTAGCAGACTCAGGCATAAGCTCCAACCTGACCCTGTTCTTCTTTTCTGTTCCCGTTTCCTGTTTCCCATTCCCATTACCCTTCATCATCACCCAGCCTCCGTGATCCAATGGGGTCCAAACTCCCTTCTTACTCATGAGTCGAACACCAGTCTCTTTGGGACTTTGGCATATCTAGAATGTTCCTCAGCTTATAACTTCACAATGGGAACAAATGGGGCTCAGCTCAGAGAGAGAATAGGGCCCTCCAGAAATTGGCCTTGCTGGCAATCAGGTCCCTACATGTCTGACTTCTACAAGACAGTGTGGCTTGGAAATGTATGCTGAGGAATCGCATGGATTTTTCCATCAGCCCCGGGGGAGGGGGCACTTCCCATCCCCAGCCTCACTTTCCCCAGTATGTCTAGGGAGTCAACATTCAATTGTCAGTAAGCTCTCTGAGGGTTCTGTTTTCTCTGGTTTTGCTACGTGTTGTTTATCGTGCGTGTGCATGTGTTCCACAATGTACAGGTGAAAGCAGGGGACAACCTGTGGGAATTCTCTCCTTCCACCACGATGTTCCGAGGAAAGTCAGCTTGTCAGGTTTGAGGCTTGACTCTGTGAGCTGTCTTTCCCAGACTCATCTGGGTTTTTGTTTTGTTTTGTTTTTATTTTACGTGTATGATTGTTTGCCTTGGATGCCTGTGAACCCCACGCATGCAGTGCCTGCAGAGGCCAGAGAAGTCCTGGAACTGGAGATGGTTTAAAACTACCATGTGGGTGCTCCTAACCACTGAGCATCTCTCCAGACCCCAATCTGTTTTGTTTTGCTTTAAAATAGGGTCGCTCTATTATGTAGCTCTGGCTGTCCTGGAACTATGTAGACAAGGTGGCCTTGAACTCCCAGGGATTCACCTGCCTCTGCCTCCCAAGTTCAGTTATTAAAGGTGTCTGCCACCACTCCCGGCCCTGTCTGTTCTCTGATAGCGTGTCCTTGGTGCTTGGAAGTTCCCTGGGACCCTGGAAATGCTTGGTAAACTTTCCTGCATGGATGACTGAGTGACAAAATGAATGAATGCATCCTGATCCCTTCAAAGAGCTTTTGTGAGGGTTACATAAGATTGTGAGCAGAGAGACTCTGGATCTTTTCCCTGTCTTCTCCTTAAAAGGGATTAATAGCAAGTTAATTGTAATTTCAGTCATTAAATTTCTTGTCAATATTAGAGATTGAACTGAGGGCCTTGCACTTGTTAGGCAGGTGCTCTACCACTGAGTCACACCCCCAGCCCCTCACTGGGGGATTCTAGGCAGGGGCTCTACCACTGAGCCACACCCCAGCCCCTCACTGGGGGATTCTAGGCAGGGGCTCTACCACTGAGCCACACCCCAGCCCCTCACTGGGGAATTCTAGGCAGGGGCTCTACCACTGAGCCACACCCCCAACCCCTCACTGGGGGATTCTAGGCAGGTACTCTACCACTGAGCCACACCCCCAGCTCCTCACTGGGGGATTTTAAGCAGGGGCTCTACATATCCACTGTCAGTCATTAACATGCATTAAACACCCAGGATGCCCAAGATACTGAGGTCAACCCCTGCACAACCATAAGTCATGGGCAAACTATGAAGTCTCTTTTCTTCTGGAGCTCATCCTAGTTGGGGGATAGACAATAAACAAACACATGGAGCCAAGTATCAGAGGCAAGTGCTATGGTGGAAGGCTGTGAAGAGTGAAAGGATGGGAGATCCCGAGAGGTAGCACAGAACTGTCCTGCCAGGTACTCAGATGGCTGAGGCAGGAGGATTTCAGGGTCAATGTCAGTCTAAGCAGTTTAATGAGAGTCATAAAATAAAAATAAATAAAAATAAAATAAAAAGTGTGATGTGACATGCATACTTGTCACCCCAATACTTGGATGGTGAAGGCCGGAGGATCAGGAGTTCAAGGCCGCTCAGCTACACAGAGAGTTGGGAGCCAACCTTGGCTACAGGAGACTGCCCTCAAAAGAAACAAAATTAAGGAAAGAGGATTGGAATGTAGCTCGGTGATACAGTGCCTGCCTAGCATGTGTGAGGGCTTGAATTCAGCTTGCGCCCTTGCTCTCTCCCTCTTCTTCTCCCTCTCCCTCTCTCTGCCCCCTCCCCCATACACAACCACAAGTGTGGACAGACAGGTGTACTTAGAGTGGTCAAGAAGGGCTTCTAGGAGGAGATGATGTTTGGGAAGAGTAGTAGAATATAGATGAAATTAAGGATCTAGTGGCCTAGTGACAAGAAGGTTGGGGGAGGACCAGACCTGTCGCCCTC